TCGTTAATAGTTCTATGAGTTCTTCTTCCAGCTGGGGTGATCCTGTTGTGTTGACATTTGAAAAAGGATCCAACACCCAGTCCGGTATTTCCAATTTGAAAATGTCCTGGAATCGGTCTGCGAAATCATTGTGGAGGTTCTCCAAATGTTGGCAGTAAACACGCAAGTCGTCGTTGTTGAAGGATACTGTTGACAAATTAAGGAAATTGCGAAACTCACGTCTGCCGATATTATTCTTGTATGAGAGCAATTTGGCTACAAAAGCAGCAATGACATTTTTTGTTTTAATCAAATTCAAGTCGTCACATTGAAGTTGCAGATTGACATCATTAAATAATTTATACAGGTCTGTCAAATACGCAATATCATTCTTTGAGGTGATGAGGTTGTCATGCAATTATTCGTCTTTGTTTTCCAATATTACAGAGTCAAATAGATTGTAAAATCGACTCAGACATCATTAGCAACACAAAGCTGATTAAATAATGTGTCATTTAAAGAGTTGTTTCGGATTTTATTGACTGCTTTGATAATATATTGCAGTGATTGAGAGAGGCGCTCACTCAAATTTTTCGCAACCAAATGTTGCCTATGAATGACGCAATGTACAGCAAACACATATGGAATTTTATTTTTTAAGTACGCTATGAAGCCTTTGTGACGTTGTCATAGCCGGAGCGCCATCCGTAGCAGCTGATATAATATTCTTCAGTGGAAATTCTTTCCCATCAGAAAATGTTTCCAGTGTATTATATATGGTTTCTCCTTTTGTATCCGTCTGTAAAGTTCTGGCAAATAGCGGTTCTTGATATATTTTCTCATTTTTAATAAAGCTCACGTATGACAACAACAATGCTTCATTGGTTGGAAAAGTGGACTCATCTAACTGAATTGAGAATTTCGAAGTCTTCAGATGATTGCACAATGAATCTTCAATGTTTTTAGCCATCTCATTCATCTTGGCACGAAACTATTGCTCAAAGGAATTTTTCGGATAATATCTGCCGCTGGTTTGTGGAGCACAGCAGTTATTACTTCTTTTATTGCCGCTAAAATTAAATCCTCTCCAATAGTGTGAGGTTTACCTGTTCAAGCAATTAGCAAGGAGATATTGTAGGAAGCTTGGAGTCCGTCGTCGTCTTACTTAGAAGCTGGATTATATCCGACTGGTGTCAATCCATGAACCTACTATGTAGGTAAGGGAAGACGTGCCTCAACGAATTGTTCCTTCAGATTTTTTCAAGTATGCCCACTTACTGTAGGTAAAATTCATTTCTTTGTACGGGGATTTGAGCCATTCGGATTTGTGGTTGGTTAGTACCTCGTCTACAGGCAGAGGGAGCGATGACAGATATGTTGCTTGTCGTTCGCTTCAGCTTTGTTCGAGGTATGATACCCTGAAATAATTTGATTTTAAATAATAGGAAATCATCGGCTTCGTATTGATGTAGTGCAGTGACGAGTGGCCTAATAGCTCGAAACCGGTCTGCAAATGTGCTCGTTCCAATAACTGAAAAGCGATTCCGGCAGTTGTATTGCCGAAAGCATATGCAGGAATTTCTTCTGTGAATATAATCCAACGCCCTTCGTGGTAGTAGCCAGGAAAGTAGTTGTTTTCTGATAGGTGTCAATCCATGAACCTACTGTGTAGGTAAGGGAAGACTAGCCCGAACGATTTATTCTTTTAGTTGATATGATTGATGATGGAAGGTACCCTGAATAACCGATTACGTTTATTCAGGAAATTTCAAAATATAAAATCGCATCAATTTCAGAACCACATCCGTATAGATCAAATTATAAGCAGATAGAATATAGTTATCGTCGGAAGTGGTTTTCGTTCAGTATCCTTGCAGATATGAAAGTCATCGATAGATTAATCGTAATAAAAAGTGAGATGAAGTTGGATTGTTCAGATAAAATTCAGAATAACCCATAAAAATATGTAGCTGATTCCAGAGTCGATGATTGAATGACTCCTTTTCGAAGTAAAACTTCTTTACCAGCGCATGACGTGGAGAGGAAGCTGGTGAATGCATGAATTCAACCGATTGCTATTTCACACAGAGGTGCGTTGGTTATCGAGAGGTAACTGTCTGACTCGATTTTACAATCTATTTGACTCTGTAATAGAGTTCTTGGAAAACAAAGACAAAGAATTGCACGACAACCTCATCACTTCAAAGAATGATATTGCGCACTTGACAGACCTGTATAAATTATTTAATGATGTCAATCTCCAACTTCGAAGTGACGACTTGAATTTGATTAAAACAAAAAATGCCATTGCTGCTTTTGTAGCCAAATTGCTCTCATACAAGAATAATATCGGCAGACGTGAGTTTCGCGATTTTCCTAATTTGTCAGCAGTATCCTTCAACAACGACGACTTGCTTGTTTACTGCCAACATGGAAAACCTCCACAGTGATTTCGCAGAACGATTCCAGGACATTTTAAAATCTGAAATACCGGACTGGGTGTTGGATCCTTTTTCAAATGTCAACACAGCAGGATCACCCCAGTTGGAAGAAGAACTCATAGGACTGATAACGAACGAGGAAATAAAAATAAAATTTTAAAAAGGATACAAAGGATTTTGGCTACAAAAGCCAATCCCGCAATTGTACCCTGGATGTGGTCCATTGTTCAACGATTTTTGATAGCATTCCCATCATCGTATTTGTGTGAACATGGATTTAGTGCTGTGGCAACGTTGCTAACTAAAAAGATAAATCGGTTTCAGATTACCAAACGCGGTGACTTACGTCTGTTTTTGAATAAATTCGAGCCTGATATTAATAAACTTGTTAAAAATCATCAAATTCATCCTTCACATTAAATTAGTTTTGAAATCCAAATTGAAATATTTGTTTTAATAACATGAATAAAATTTTTCCAAATATTACAAAATGGTGTTTTACATAACCCTCATCAGAAAGTCTTATTTTCACATTACACACATAATTTGATTATTAAAATAATGACTGCGATTGTGAATCTTGAGATGTAGTAAAGTAAAAAAATTTGGGGGGCGCTAGAAAATAATTAATTCTCGATGTGGGCGGTAGACAAAATAAGTTCGAGAACCTATGCTCTATAACTTTTTGCAACCAGTCCAAATCATCACAGCAGCAACCGGCACTGGTCAACACAAGGGGTCCGATCCAACTCCACGACAACGCATGTTCGCACGTTTCACAAATTACCGTCCGAAAATCAAATGCATTGGACGTCAAAGTTCTGCCCTATCCATCATACTCCCTAGACCTCCCGCCAAGCGACTACCATCTTTTCAAGTACTGTGATAACTTTCTCACCCGTAGAACCTTCGCCAATCAGGACCAGGCAAAAACGGTCTTCGTCGATTCCATCACTGAGATATCACAGTTTGAAGTAGACTCATATAAATGGACAAAACTTTTGAAACAACCTGATACAACAGTAATCCACTGATAATCTACATCAAAGCGAATGAATTTCAACATTCTGTTGGAAAGTGTTGGCCCACAAGAATCTTTAAGAGCATCCAAAACGAAATGGTTTGTCAATATTTGATGAGCGCGTGTAGCTTCAGTACATTTACAGATGAAATATATATGAGACCTGTGAAATATTAGGCGGAACGAATTTAGGAAGCTTTTATCTTCCTAACATAACAAACAAAAAATATCTTGATTTTTGGAGAAAAGAGAATTGAAACTTTCTATGTTTTTTACCACTTTTATTCGTAACTAACGTTACTGCAGTTTCGTCCTATAAGGACATTTTCAAACTTATACGTTAAACATACTTCAGAACTACTTGTAAACGCAATTCAAATGATTGTTTCACTTGTGAGACTGAAACTTAAAGATGACTAACAATTTGGATTATACAGGGTGTCCCTGGACTTCCTCTTTTCCTCTCGGGAATGTATAGATGGGGTCAAAATATCACCAGTACTTCATATAACTTTTTTTCCTAAAATCCTTCGTTACCAAGTAACGGGCCCTCGAAGTTACAAAATGAAAAATGTTTTTCTTTGATAACTTTTCAAGTGAATATTCAAAATCATCCAAATTTTGG